CGTAAGAAACATACGCGGTATAAGGAATATCAGCTTACCAAATTTACAGTAAATTATTCTGTATAACTTAATAGTTCATAATTTTTTAACATTTTTTGTCGAAATGTTGACATAATCGATTGGATTAATTTGGAAAAAAATTAGAGAGAATGATAATGTTATTTTTTGTCTACCTATACAAAAGAATTATGGGAGTCATAGTATTCTAGAAATGATTTGTAGGATTTATACGATTGCTCTAACTATAATGAGAGTAACATGCTCATTACAATTGTAATGACTCTTTTTAACTCCAATTTTTGTAATCTAACATATTTTATTGTGTATGTTACCTTTGTGAAAATAAGGAACATAATACTCAAACTCCTATGATTTGAAAATAAAGCTGCTTTATCTACAATCATATAGCAATAATATGCATAAATATTACAATGTAATATACTTTATTTTATGTGAAGAGTTTTTCACGAGTTAATGGTGATCTATTCTATAGCTAATAGAACTGAATTTTCGATGCCATACAAATATGTCATAGATCTCTCAATTATACTATTTGTTCTGCAGACCACGTTAGAAAGAGAGTAATAATCCTTTGGTTGAAGCAATCGTATATGAGGGTATTTTAACCAAATTACTTATTATAAAAACCACGGTTATCAGAATCGTATATCTTAACAGTCATAATATAATACATTATAACTTAAATCCACGTATACCTCCTTTCCAATCATAAAGAAATATTGTAGTAACAATCATAACGATTTTTTCTGTGTCGAAATATAGTATATTGATATAATCATGCCATTTGTTGTTAACTATAAATAATGCAAATATCAATAAAACCTTTTACAGTAGATAATCGCATCTCATTAAGAAAAAAGACATTATTTCTTTCTTACCGCTCCTTGTGACGCAAAAGAGTTAATGGCCACTTGATAAAACCAACGGCTGTAAATTTCTATTCCAATGGTTGGTTGCTCGTCTGTGGTTCGGACGAGCGAGAGATTATTTGGATTTCGAAGAATGGTAACAATCGAGCTTTGTAATCGGTCCTCGAAACGATAAAGACTTTGTTGGCTACCCTTCCGGCGCTACCGTTTTCTCCCCCTCGCAGCCACCCCCTCTGATTTT